CGGGCTCGCCCTCCCCATCTGCAGTGCCCGCAGCGCCTGCCCGCCCCGCCCATCCTTCCTCCTGGGCAACCGAGAGGATGGCGTGAGGACTCCTGGAAGCCCCAGGACGGGCCCAGGGGCGTGGTAGGGAGCTGTAGACCCGAGTTTTTATCGTCCTCTGGCGCCGACACTCGGCTGCGGAATCGAGTTTGAGCTCGGTGTAGCTGAAGTTTAAATTGTAGCTGTTTCAAAGGTAGACCCCATCTCACCCCCACCCCCGACCAAGACCTCTGGAAGCGTCCTGCCTGGAAGCCGCTTGTGGGGAGGGCTCTCCTAGGGTCTCCAGGCTCCCGCTGGAGCACGCCTGGAGGTGGTTTGTCGGCCGTCCCCAGAAACCGCCACCACTACCGCCCCACCCACCCGCTCCAGCCGGTGGGAGGCAGGCTGGGTTTCTGAAAGGAAGCCGCCCGCGTGCTGCGCCCGGGGCTGGGGCTGGACCTTCTGATCAGGAAAGCCCATGGCTCTGCTTTGGCACGGATTTGCCCCCTTTTGGCTGTTTGTGCGCGATCACAGCAGCTGTTGTTGGAGAGGAAGGCAGTGATAACGGGGCTTAAAGCAAATCGGAGATAAGATCTCCGATTTAGACAGGCTGAATTTAAGGCAAAATTCACTGTCCCTCCTGCGAGCACTCACGTCTCTGTAACTGAAAGGCTGGTAATGCAAATGGCATTTCTATCCCAATGATCACAGAATGAGCCTAGAAAGGGAATTAATTGTTTTATAAACTGCCAATGCTATCCGTATCTTCCGATGTTTTTTTTTCTAATATATCTAAGGCCCAGGCTAGCGAACAACAGCAATAATAATGATAATACTGTTGGCCAGGACCAGAGAGGCCCAGGGCTGCGGGGATGAGGACAGAATGGCCTCCTGTCACCGCCCCTCCTGAGTCTGCTGGAAAGGCGCCAGCTCAGCAGCCCGGCAGCTCTTCCTGCCTCTCCCCACCCCATGTCCCTGCTTCTGTCTGCGGGGTGTCCCTCCCCACAGGCTTCCTTCCGCCTGGGCTGTCCCATCCTGTTGACCCAGCCTGAGGGCTGGAGCAGCTGGCCTTGGACACTGCGGCGGGAGAGGAAGCTCCTGTGTGCCCCTCCGCAGGCCTACCTTCCTTCCTGTCGGGGCCCTCCCCTGGGGTGGCTTCTGCCAGACCCTCCAGGCGAGAACCCTGTCCCTTCCTTACGAATGTGGGGCCTGCTGGCCTGGCTCCCCAGCGGGCTGAGAAGCAGGGAGCGGTCTTGACTTGTGAGAGTGATTCAAAACAGGAAAGAAAAGAGAAAAGGGGTAGGAGGAACAGTGTGGTGGTGGCACAATTCCTAGAGATTCAGAGAAAGATGTTTCCCGGGCTCCTCAGATTCAACATATCCAAAACTAAAATTGCTGTTTCTACTCCTTCCCGGATGCAAACCTTGCCTCCTTCCAGCCTTCACCTTCTCTCTCAAAGCCCTGGATCTGATTGGTCCCCAGGACCCAGCAGTTTTGCCTCAGAAATGTCTCTGTTCTCATTTTCCATTTCTACCCTGGAAATGTTGCACTAGATCAATCTGTCATCAAGTCTTGCTCGGATTAAACAATCTGCAATCCCCCCACCCAACCTCCACCCACACTCCAGCTTATTTTCCACTGCCCAAGCTCCACACTGTGACTGGAATGGCTTTTTAAAAGTCATGATCCAATCATAACATTCTCTCCTTAAAAATGATCCGTGGCTCCTGTTGCCAGGAGATGAAAGGCCATTCAGTTCTGAGCTATCCAGTCGGCCTCCAACTATAGGACTCTCCCAACCCTCCCCACCTCGTCGTCCACCCAGACTTACCCTTGCCCACAGCCACAGCAAACTGCTTGCTGTTCCTCAAACATATGGTGCATTTTCATGTCTCGGTGCCACAACCTCATTCAGGAAACACTGTGTTGTGCATGCCTTTGTTCGTTTATCCACTCCATTCGACAACTATTTGTTGAGCATCTACTGTGTTCTAGGCACTGTTCCAGGCACAGCAGCAGTGAACAAGGCAGGCCAGGGGAGACAAAGATAAGTACACGTCAAATACACACACACACACACACACACACACACAAGTACCATGAAGGTAAGTTCACTGCAGTGCACCAAATTGTAACAGGGTGATAAGAGTGTGACTGGGCAACTGGTTTGGTATGAAATATAGGAGAAGCTTGCTCCAAGGAGATGTTTAAGCTGAAAACCTCATGAGAGGATAGAAGGATCCCAGGCAAGTGCACCTAAGTAGAGGGAGCAGCTAAGGCAGTCTTATAGCAGGAAAGAGCTGGCCCCGTGGGATGCAGTGTGGCTGAAGGTGCAGAGGGTGTCAGGGAGAGTGGGAGGGGATGAGGTTGGAAAGTAAGGCAGGAGGAGCTAGGCTACTGAGGAAGTTATAGGTCATGGTTTGAAATGGGGATTTTTTTTCTTTCTTTTTTTTTTTTCAGACAGAGTCTTGCTTTTTCACCAGGCTGGAGTGCAGTGGCGCAATCTCGGCTCACTGAAACCTCTGCCTCCCAGGTTCAAGCAATTCTCCTGCCTCAGCCTCCTGAGTAGCTGGGATTACAGGCA